GTAATCTCTAAATAATATTAGCAAGTTTTTACGTGTGACATCTTTTTTCTCATGCTGTTACAAATAATTAATCAATGTGAGTTTTTGTCATCCATATTATGACGTGTGATTCAATTGTATTCGATGAATTAAACTACTAAAACGTGTAGGATGAAAGAAACTCTGTCAATTTCATGTTTGATATCCAATAATCTCTATTCTAAGTGGCTAATATTTTTAGTAAGTCTTTAACGTGTGGAAGTGAAACATCTCCTTTTGCTTTTTACATGTGTAAGCAATAAAATTAAATTAGATAAAAATTTAGGCATTACAAGACTTAACAAGTTAAACTAAAGTCACCTACTTACAACAAACTCCTGAGATTTGCTATAAATATATCACATCTGTGCATTTGTCTCCAACACAAAAAAAAAAAAAAATTAGAGAAGAAAAAAAATAATAATTAGAGAAGAAATTTTTTTTTAAGAATTTGCAGTAAGTTTTAATGCATATACGTGAAACCTTCCTCTCAACAAAATTATGTTCAATGAATCCAAGTGAAAACTGAAAACCTTTAAAAAAGTAAAACGTGTTTCTATAACTAAAATGATTTTGTGGATTACCGACTAAACGTTACGGTCTTAGTTTTGGCTCTTAGTAATAATTTAGTTTTAAATTGGTAAAAATTATAGTTAAGAGATTGTATTTTTGTTTTAAGATTTATGTGTCTTTAATGGTAGGCTCTTAACATGTGGTTCTTAGAAAAAAAAATATTAATATAAAAATAAAATTTAATAATTATTGCAAATTAAAATTTTTAAAACATTATACATGAAATACAATGTATAGGATCAAGTTGCTAGCTAGGATCCGATTATTGTTGTAGAATGTGTTTATGTAATAACATGCATTAAATCGAAACTTGGAATTCTGATTATGATTGATGAATGCTCAAATGCTTGAAAAATTCTGATTCCGATTATGGTTTTGTCATTAAATTCCACCAATTAAGTCCGACACGGGTGTTTCAGAAAAAAAAAAAAAAGTCCGACACGTCATCGCCTCTTACCACATAAAAAAGCTCTTAGCTAAGAGACACTCCTTAGCTTTTTTCTTTATTTTGCTTTAATTTTAATTGGTTTATTGTTAAGATTTTGCTAAGATTCTCTTAAGACACTCTTGTTAAAGGTGAGGTATTTTATTTCAAAGGTACCATTGGAACAAGAGAACAAGAATTGTACGAAAACAAGTTCAAAGGTTCGAAAACAAGTTCTCTTGTTCCAATGGTACCTTTGAAATAAAATACCTCATCATTTTGTTTTCGCACAAGGCTCTGGTCTGGGCGGCCATGTGATTGGAGAATCATTCTCTGTGTTGTATTACGATACAGAAACTGATTATCTCAGAAGATGTACGATTGAAGCAGTGGCTGGACAACAGATTCTTGATGTTCGAACCTTCTTGGATCATGTGGACAGTACTTGGCTTATGTGATATGTGAAGAACAAGAATTGGTCCATTGGTTGTTCAGTCTCTCTAGTCTTATTGGGATTGTTAGTCTTCATTTCTACTGTCGTTAATCTTTTTTTATGCTAAAATAATAATGTCGTCTCTCAATTAGTACTTGTCGTATTGGGATTGTTAGTTTTCATTTCTACTGTCGTTAATCTTTATTTATGCTAAATAATAATGTTGTCTCTCAAGTATAGTACTATTGGTCTTATGGGATTGTTAGTTTTCATTTCTATGTCGTTAATCTTTATTTTATGCTAAATAATAATGCTCGTTAAATATAACTTTTATAACGTTTCTATACTCTTTTTATCAAGCTGTGAGAGCTTTTTAATGAAACTGCAGAGTTATTCAACTTTTGTGTTACTTCACTCAACCAAGAGTTGTAAATTTGATGAACTGATCTAACTTTGCTTGCACTAAAGACTGTTTATACACTTAAACTAGAATTTACTCAACTATTTTGTGGCTAATCGTAATTCCTATTGAAAGATTAACAAATATAAGAAGAGATATTTTTTTATAAAAAAAAATGAATGTTTTTATTAATTCCTCCTTTTGGGAAAGTGCATAGCCACAATTTCCACAAAGTGGAGCATATACTCTTATAGTTATATAGTGTAACATAAAAGTTTCAACTATAGAAAGTTAAAATTATACCATAAACAAAACGTTACCAATAAAAAAACATAAGTACCGCAAAAAGATTTACCACCGTTACGATCTTGACCGTTGATTTCACGGAAGATGATGACTGATCCGTCTGATGAGGAGGTTTTCTGTAGTAGAACGGGAAATAAGGCAAGATAGGGTCCAGCGGTGGAGGACCGTTATATCCCCCGCCGGGATTACCTCCGTAATAAGGTGGAGAAGGGTAATTTGGTACATTATTCGACGATGGGGGAGGATAGTAACCGGTCGGTTGAGGATAATAACCGGCCGGTTGAGTGGAGCCAGTACCGGCTATTGGTGGAGGGTAACAAGGGTACGGACATGGCGTCTGTGATATGGTTATGAAGGGGAAGTTGACAAGATAAAACACGAACAATAGACTTAGGAGGTGACCGTAACGTTTAGTCATGGCCAATTTTTTTATGAAAGATTTGTTTAGTGGTAAACAAGAAAATATATGTTTGTGTAAGAGAAAGAGAGAAGTTTTTAGAGACTTTCTTTCTTCTTGAGTCTGAGTGAAATCATCAAGTGAGTGGTTTTTAAAATAAATTGTTTTATATGAGTTAAGACAAACAACTAGTGATGAGAATTTTGAATAGTGGCGACTAACAAAGGTCAATGAGATTGAACGTGTCTTGTGGCTACGATACACTTGTTGTCTTGTAAATTATGATACTTGGCTGTATAATTTTGTCCTTGTTTAAGCAAATTGGGCCACCGCTTGATATAATGGAAATTTCAGGTTTGGGTCCGAAACCAGAATTACTCAACCATTGAATTATCTAAATATCTATGTTTGTAAAATGTAAAATTGCACTACTTGGTTTAGTGATATAAAATTCAAGGTTCTCGAGTTATTGTTAGAGGTAGCTAGCTTCTTACTCGAACCAGATACTAAAATTTTTATTTTTCACCAAAAATAGTCTACAATTTACCACGATGAACCTCTAGTTATATATTTCATGGTACAGTTTGGTAAGTAGCCAATCGTTGTCTCGTTCTCCACCCATATGGCCATGTCGATACTTAAGAGAGAAAAAGAGAACAATCATTAAATTACTTAAATGTTTAACAAAAATAATAGAGAAACTTCTTTATAATAAAATTGGCAATGTACTTATTGATTTTTGACGACATTTGATAATGTTTGGTAGCTGATAACGTTCAGTATAAGTCCAGTTTAGGGAATTAAAAGGCACATGTTTCTTTGAAAGGCTAGAAATAGAGGGATCTTAAAGGATTAAGTTTATCAAATGCAAGTTTTTGAGTACTTTTTTTTACAGTGTGTAGTCGTTTTGTTTTATATATTGTCTTAGTCGTTATATAATATATTTTTAGTACTAAAACTTAAGATATCCACTGAAAATTGATTTATGGGTTTAATAACAAAATAATGACTACCTACTAACAAAATAATGACTACTAATCTACTATCATGTGAGAAATATTTGATATTCTATCAACACATGCACTTTATAGCTATCTTTTTATATTGACGTCCACTAATTGTCTTGGAGAGTTACCAAATGCTTTATTCTTTTTGTTATGGCTCCATTATGAAAAACCTATAAAAATTAACTAAAAACCACAGGAATATTTTTCCTATGGCGTGAAAAAAAAAGCCACATCATATATCATATATTCATGTCTATATGTGCATAGCCAGCCATATAGAAGGGAGCTTCTATGCAATAACTAGGTAGATGATAAAAGCTTATAACTAGGCACAGGCTGTGATTTGCTCTATTATTTCCAACTTTATCAAAGTATACAAAATTGGAAAGCCTTTGGATACTGATAATAATTTCTTGATTCTTGTTTCTTTTTTTTCATCCTTTATTCTCTTAAGGATTTATAAAATGTAAAGGAGGGATGTGATAACACAAAAATATATTTAGGTTTAGATATCTTGAATCAAATTCGTGTATATTAATGTCGGTGATATCTTTGAATGAAGTATTAGAGAAAATAAAAAAATTTGCCGAATAAATATATATAGCTGTAAAACAAAATTTTCTAATAAAAGTCACTTAAAACTATAAATTTGACGATTTTATTTTATTTTGTTGTAGAGAGACAAAGACAGTTTGAACCTGTGAAATTATATGATAGATCATTAGCATGCAGAATAATGGGTTTTCGTTTTTATCAGGGTATTAATCGTCCAATTAAACATTTCGTAAATTTATTATAGATAATATTAACGATTTAACTCTAAAATTTGAACGACCATATACAAAATCCTAAAAACAACGAGATATAAAAGAACAATTAGCGATGTAAAAAAAAATTAGTAGACGTCGACATAAAAAGGAGAGGAACAATTACTGTTGTAGTTAAGAGAATCAAATTATACATGTTACGTCAAGGTCGGTTCTTTGTGCCTTTGTTTTGGTGGAAGGTAGTTTTCTCACTCTCATATGTCTAACTTGAACCTCTTATTTCTATTACCAAGCTTTTTAGTTTAGTATTTTGTCGTTGACCCAATAAAACATGGTTTTGACTTTTCTTGAATCTTTATCAATGTAATTAATACTCTTTTTACAGCTTCTTCATCTGAAATTCCCTACCTAATTAACTTTACTTTGCTCCTAGCCAGAATTGTATATAAATGTCTCTTTGCAGTTATAACTTTTATTTATAGAATATGGTTTTAGAAAAAATCATGGCCACTCGAGAATCAACCGTTATCAAGTGAAAGGGTGAACATACATTTCCTATAATTCATGCTTTCTGCAAACACTAAAAATCATTTAAATTAGCCATATCATTTAATTAAATAAATTTTGGTACAACGAAATATGATGAAACATAATTGATCCTAACCAAAGAGAAAATGCACAATCGATAATTTATCGTGTAATCATTAATTAAGAGTTATGTGAACAACATATACCAATCCGTTAAAAGTAAACGAATCTATGAAACGATAAACAACGAGTCAACGAAACAACATCAATTCATAATCATCAAGAAACTCATAACTCCAAACGCTATCAGTCCTGAAATCTTCACCGCCGTGAACCTTTTTGCAGCAGCCGCTCCAAACTGCTGATCAATGGGATACAACTCTCCTGGTGGACCAGTCATGTATATGTAAGTGGACGGAGGTGGTGGACAATAAGACTTCTTCGGCGGAGAAGGAGGCAGTGGTGGTGGAGGACAAGCTGGAGACGGCGGTGGAGGTGATGGCGGTGGAGGAGGAATGTTTTGGAGACAAGGTGTGCATTTTATTGGATCCTCTTCGAGTTTTCTATAATTGGTTGATGAATCTGAAGCGTTGATGATCATTGGAAACGCGAGAAACGTCATCGCCGTGAGGATAGTGACCGTCAGAGCCTTTGTACGGCGATATTTCTCCGGCATGGTGAGAGTAGTTATATGTTTTTTTGGTCTCGGAGAATCGAATAAAGAGAGGTTTGGGAAGATTCTCTTGTTAGAAATGAAAAAGAGTTGAAAATTTGGTGAGGTGGTTTGGTAAGAGGTTGCATGGGACTGATATACTTCTTCAAGACTATATATTTCTGTCTTAATTTTGTTTTTTGTTTTTTTTTTTTTTAATTCCATTGATAAGATACAAAAATACTTTACAACATGCAAGAATAAAAAAGAAGAAGACGAATATATTCTATAGGGAAAATTGAAATCGGTCCTTACATAGTTTACATGTGAGTTGGAGCTTGAATTAAGGGGTCCCACATGGACCATATAACATATAATCGTGTTACTTGAAATATAATTAAATGCAACAATAGTGGAATTATTAGCCTTTAATCCACCGTCGTCCACCCAAAAATAAAATATAGAGAGTTTATACACTTAAAAGGCTTCCAAATAATTGTTACCAATAATAAGAACGTTTGATGACACAATGATTGATTGTAATCTGATTTGAAAATTAAGAGCGTGTATGTATATGATTGTATAGTGTGTAAACATCTTTGCTAAAGCGTGAATTGGTGGCTTTTCTATCATATGATTACTCTTAATTGCAATGTATTAGATGAGAAAGATAAAAACGTTATGATTTGGTAATAGTTGACAAATAATAATTTGGGAAAAGACTTTACAACAGCGTCTCTATACTGTATTCCATGACTTGGTTCTTTTGGTAGCCATTGCACATGCAATGAGAATAAATGAATGAGTTGACTAATAATTAAAATAAATTTTGTCGTAGAATGCTTACGGCCACCGACTACGCTACGCAATTTGGTCCTAAGATTTTTTTACGGATATAAATTTCAATAATTACACGAATTTTAATGCTCTTATCTCTGTTAAGAAAATGATAAAATTGGAGGAATCTGTTCCAAAGCTGGAAAAGGTGTTCTACATCGACCGACTCAATGGGCTGGAATAAGGACTTTCGCCCATATCAAAATTGGTTACTCAAATTGACCTGAAACCGATGATTTGGGCCATATATGTGCCATTTTTTCTTCCTTTTTTCTTTTTTTTTTTGTTACAAGATTTTCCAAATGCTATTGTTTCGGTATACGAAAAAAGGTTGTTACAGTACAGAAGCATTAGAAAAAAACGAAATTACAGATCTATGCTTCGTAACGAACATTGTTCCCCATGCTATTTCTATCCAAAACAACAAAACGTGTAAACCCTAGAGCAGACTCTATTTCTTGTACCAGAAGTCACAGAAGTGTTGAGATTTATAAGCCAGAGTTGTCCATCTGCTGAAAAAAAAACCCGGGACAGTGATTCTTCCCTAGCCATGGGTCCGAGTCTCCTAGAGATGCTAATCAAAAATATGCAAGATTCAGATATCAGATTCTGTTCAGTAGCTGCTCTGCGGATAGAACTCAAAGCTTGAAAGCGGTAGAGACATCTGTGAATGCCAATCAGGCGGTTGGTTCAAGTCGAAATTCATTCCCATTGACTGGTTCTGGAACAATGGTTCTGATTGGAACTCATAGACCATGTCATCGACCATTGTCTGCAACTCCTCCAAGCTATATTGCTTTTCCTGCACGCCAACATTATCACACCGTTAACTTGTGTGAGAAGAAACAAAACAAGATCGGTAAATTCAGGTGCAAAAATGAGATTTACCTCTCTTCTAGTCTGAGCCATAAGTGAAACCATCTCTTGAACAAAATCAAAGTATCCCTATTTGTAATAAACAAAAGAGAAACACATCAGCTTTTTGTAATGAACAAAACGAATTACAAATCTCTTACAAAAATCACAGTTTCAAGTAGTCATACCTCATCTTCTCCAGAATCATAGAGTCCAACATCGTACAAGCTTCGTTTCCTCTCATCAGACAACACTAAAGTTCCAGACAACAATGTCAGTCATCGGACAACAACCAAAAAACTCAAAACAGAGTCTGAAGACTCTCAACAGATATTTACCTGAATAAGCTTCTTGAATCTGCTGAAATCTTCGTTTAGCTTCACCAGATCTAAAAGGATCTTTTGTCCACCGGTCAGGATGCCATCTCATAGCAAGCTTGTGATATGCACGTCGTATCTGCTCCGCCGAAGAATCAACGGCAACACCGAGAATCTCGTAATACGTTTGCTTAATGCCACCTTCCATTTGTTTATATGTACTAAGCTTAAAGCATTACACTTTACGAAGAGATGATTAGTTGTTGAAAGTTGTTTGGGGTTTATATAAAACAGGAGTTGTGTTCCAATGGCGGTTTAGATTCTTACATAAGAAGTTCTAGAAGATTTTGGGTTTCCAAAAATATCTTATGTCAAGATTCAAGAACGTTCGGGAACATGCTAAGAAAGCAGATATTATCCGCACAATCTTTAGATATTTTTACATTGGACAGCTGTGATTGAATGGACGGTCACGTCATGATCGTAACATGACACGTGGTTTTAAATATCTTAATTGGAAACTGTGAGATTGTTATGTTTTTTTTAATTTTTACTTTACTTGTGGTGTTGAGGCAGACAAATAGGCCATGAATGGATGCTGTTTTTAAATTTGGTTTCTGGATTTTGTTTTTAGTTTTTGGATTTTAGATTTTAGTTTTAGATTTTGTAATTAGATTTTTGTTTTAGAAACCCCAAAAAAATGGTTTTTGGTTTTTGAGAAAAATAACGTAGAGGGAGTAAAAACTAGATTCCCTAAATTATAGGAGAACTAAAAATCTAAAATCTTGAATGGAAGATTACCACAAATTTTTTTTCCTAAATTGTAGGGAAACCAAAATTTGAAAAACTTGATTGGTGTAAAATAAGTTTTTGAAAAACAAAAACTAAAATCTCTTTCAAAAACTACCAAACATTCAAGGCCGTAATCTTCGGCGCAGAAAAAACCTTTTTTTTTCTTCTTCTTAATTCACATTTAAATCTATATTTTCGCTATTTTATTATACATACAAAACATATTTTTACCATTAATCACATTAACAAAATATTAATTAAAATTATGGTTGCTAATATTATTTTCTTTATACTATAGTGTTAATTACGAATTTACCAAAAAAAATAGTGTTATAATCAGATAAAAACTAATGTTAATGTACCCAAAGTATTTTGACCAACAAAAAAATGTACGTAAAATAGTTGGGCTAATGGGCCTTAACAGACACAGCCTACCTAACTTCATCAAAGGAGACCATTTGAGAAGTGTTGTTGTTGTTAGTTGAAACTGACGTCAAAACACATTGGTAGCTGCAATCTTTTGTAAACCAGTTCTTCTTTTTTGCTCTTTACTTCTCTTTTTCTTTTGGTAAAGCTTTTACTTCTCTTTCCTTTTGTATTATCGATCATCTTTTATGCAAAACGTCACTCACTTCTCGAAAGCATTCAAATATAATGAATATTGTGCAAGCGTTAGAATCATGTTTCCAAAGTTATGAAAAACGCACTATACCATTTTAAGCACGAAACATCATCTATTCAAGTTTTCAGGAAAATAGTTTTATCGATCACGGGTCTAAGTGATATCTATATAAATAGAATAGTGAAATAGCCGAATAGGCAAATGTTTGAATAACATAGACATTTAGGTTTACAGAATTACTGCAAAATAATTATAAAAAAAAAACACACCAAAAACTGAATTTAGTGTATTATTGTCCTTAATTATATTTTTAACACATCTATATTGTATAACGGAATCATACTCCAAAAATATAAAAATGTGAAAATTTTAATTTTGACGAATGTTAGATAAATAGGAATCACGTCTAAAGGAAAAAATAGAAAAACGTTAAGACTTGAGGTTTTTAAGGCAGGACTTGGTTTGGAAGTCCATAATGTAAGGTTTTATGAATTTAAATATCACACATCACTGACATATGTCTTCATTTCATATTTTCCATTAAAGCTAAAGGAAACCATGGTAAATTTCTTTTCAGCTTCACTACATATTATTATTCAAGTATTTACTATATTTAATACCTGAAAGATACTTCACTATATTTATTACTTGAATAAGATAGTTCACTCTCTTATACAAGTCATAAATATAAACCAGTTAAAACAATGTCTTCATTTTCATACATTGCAACAGTATTCACTTCTATTGTTTTTGTAGTTCAATGACTCAGTCATTAACCTATCATTCATACCATTCACAAGTTTTATGTTAAGCGAAACCTTTTTTACCCAATGAAACCTCTTCGGTATTAACATTTTTTTTTACTGTCCAAGACTACAAGAGTTTGTCATATGGATGAGACGCATGTGAAATACTGAAATGGGAAACATGGTTTCAGCTTTCTTGGCATATGCACGTATTTGGAGATACCTTAAGATGTTGTTCCATCTCGATCGGTAATGTTTATTTTTTGCTATTCAACGATTATTTTCTATTTTTATTTTATTTTTTTAAGTCACTAGCTATTAACTACTTGTCTACTTCTGCATCGGATTCATGACAAAGGAGAAAGATATATGTAGTAGTTAGAATTGATAAAAGAAAAAGTCTAATATATCGGAAACATTAATAAAGTTGTATTGGAAAATTTAAAATACTCAGTTTTATTATTAGATAACGCAACTATAATCTTTTTGCCATCATTTTTTTTGTCGGTTTGACATCGTTTTATTGAATTTATTCAAGAATTCAAGATATATTTACCGGATTGGTTCACATATTGTATAAGTACTTCACGTATATCGCCGTTTTGTTAAATCATTTATGTGTATGCATGCATACAATCTTACAATGGACAAGGCGGGTAGTTATCGAACCTACCGCGTCAAAATTCGTTACAAAGAACGGAATAAAATCTAGGCAATCAAAATAAACGAACTATAAAAATACATACTAAATAGAGATATAAAGGTATAAAAATCAATTTAAATTAAAGGAAATAAGGAATGGTGGGAAGACATGAATCACGCGTCGAAGGCACACCTACCCGAAGGGTTTTGGAGAGTAGACAAAGAGACAAACAAAGATATGTGAGTTTGGTTTGGTTTTGGGTTTTGGGGGGTTGGTAGTGTATGAGGTCCATATGCCTCGATCTTCCGCTTCTTTTAATTACTTTTCTTTATTACAAAATTTATCTAACTATTCTACTCTATCGAACCATGCAAATATATAATTATATGTATAAGCCCATCAAAGTTTTTGAATTCAGTGCAAACACTTGTCAAAGGAGTAGTCCCGATCTGGTTCCATCTTATCTTCGTTGTCTGCTCGACCTTGGCTTTGGCTTTAACATAACATTTAACTTCTTTTTTTTTGTTAATACATCACATATATATAACTTAGCTCCACAGATTTAAAATAAAAATTAAAAAAAAATCATATCTATACGGGCAAAATGGAGATCAAACGACCTTAGGAATTAACGACTCTTAATAAACTGTAACTTTATTATTGCTACTTATCCATATACAATACCAGCACAGTTAATCATGTATACGTATATGTTTATGCTCATGGAGTCATGGTTTTGCTTATGTGCATATTCATCAAGCATGCTTAGCTACATGGAACTCTCTTACGTCAATATGTAATATTTCCTACATGAAACTATCCTATATTCCTATTAGGTGGAATATTTTCCTCCAGCCGAATCATTCAAATGATTTACACAATAAGGTTTCCATATTTTTAGGTCCTTTTATGTCATTAAATTTCATAGACAATCATCTTTCTTAATATTGTAAATCCGCATGCCTATAATAATCTAAGATTTTATGCAAAAGAAAGGGAAATCTGTATGTATACGAACGTAAAGACTTAACCATATATACCAACAATCAAATAGACAAAAAAAAAGCCTCAGAAATCAAAAGTTTCGATCATCTACCCCATCAATCATAAACCGATACCATGTATGATGATCATAAGAAGGATGGATGAATGAAATAAACGATAACGTATTAGGGTTTTGAGGAGAGATCAAGACCAAGGTCGAACAGACAACGAAACAAAGATGAGAACACATAAGATTGCTCACTTTGTCAAGCCTAGCATCGAATCCAATCACTCTTCATCTTCATCTTCTGATGTCCACCGTATATAACCCATCCCAATTATTATTCTATTGGTTACCAAAAAGAAAGAGGATATTTTTGTGAAGGAGGAACCCTAGCTACTTATAGAAGAAGATGTAAAATATTAGAGGAGGAGAATCCACGCAACTAACTATGAGTTAATAGAAGAAAGATTACGACAAAACTTGATGAAACATCTGGAGTAGAGAACCTCGCACGTGGCACGCAATCACTCGAACTCTTTGGTTTATTGACTCACGGGTGACTTGTACGTGTGCATGCCTTCGTGCGTGTGGTGTATATGTACACACGGACACACACTTTAAACATATATTTACGCAACACACTGTACCGTACCTACCAACGTCTCTCACTGATAATGTAAAAAGTAAAGATTCGGTACCTCCCAAGTCCCATGTGCGTAGTTATAACTAGATTTCCTATGTTGACAATTCATATTATACTTAATACTCTAAATTCGAAGCCCACTATATGAAATCCGAAATAACCAATCTATATATACATTTTTGGTGAAGATTTGGCCTCAAAAATCCTTTTACAATTTCAATATTGTACATTTAGTCCCTACAAATAAAATCTGGAAAAAATATATGTCTTAATCAAATTTACAAATCAATAAATAAACTTAAAACTTTTCCTATTTTTACGAGATTTGAGATCCTAACATATGAAAATCATATATTCAAAATTAAAAACTATTAATAAATGATTGATTTAGTAAATCTATAAAACTAACTCTAATATCTAAATATTCGATATATTTTACATTTTTCTAAAAAAATATATTCTTAAACACGAAAAACTGAAAAAAAATAAATAAATTTGGATCAAATGTAATTTACGTACCTTTTTTTATGACGGTTTATCATTCGACCAAGAACATCTAATGACCACCAAGAACATGCTACCCTACCATAAAACATATATTCATAGCAATAACAGAAATTTGGCCATTTAATGATAGAAAACCACCTTTTGATCTGTTGAATCATCATAGAAAATCGACACATAATATCTTAGCCATCCTTTGTCTTTAAGCCATCGTATTGATATGATCTTGCATCCTACAATTGCAACCAATAAAACGAACTACTCTTTTAAATTACATTAGATAAAAAAGAGACTAATGAGTCTGGTGGGAAAGATTTTC